ACTTTCAAAGAAACTCCGAAGTCCAACCACGTGATGTTTTCCGATATCTTCCGACATCTTTCGCTGTTGTAACAACTATATGTTTGTTTCCAAGTAATCAAGACAGAAAGCATCTATCTTTCGGTGTTACAAGTCCAGAAATTCCATTTCCCCCAAAATTTTTATATGAAATAATATTTTTTTAGTAAAAATTAGAAATTGTATTGAATAAATAAAATTAAAATTACATGTAAATTTTTATATCACGTACGAGTAAAATTAATGTTAAACTTTTAATTTGGTCCCTAAACTATTATATAGACATCTGGTTTGGGCTCATGAATTAAAAAATTTTTTGATTTGGTCTCTAAACTAGTATACGGATCCCAATTTTGGTCCTTACTGTTTATTAATTTATCTCAAATTAATCCTTTCGTACAAAAAACAATTGACGTATCCGTTATTTATGAGAAAAATAGTAACTTAATGGTCATATATCACGTTAATAATAAAACATGTCAATTGGTTTTTGTACAGAAAGATCAACTTGGGATAAATTGGTAAACAATAAAAACCAAATTGAAAGTTTATACAATAATTTAGGGATCAAATTGGGGATTTAACTTTAAATTAAAAACATTAAACAGTATATTAGTATGAAATAATATTAGATGAAGAGAATTCATGATTTTATATAAGCAATTTCGTTAATGCGCGTGAGATGCGTTTAATTCCCATACTACTTGTGTGAGAGTCGAGTATTTATGCGAATAGCTAATAGTTTGGTAATCTTAATTGATCTGAAGAATGCCTTAATAACACTGTCTCAACAACACCGCAAATGAAAAAACAGAAGGCAAATATTAACATATTGGAGGAAACTAATTATAATGGATGTGTGGGGTAATACATCAAACGGGTAGAGCGAAGAGCAAGAGGGTCGAAACTTTCTTAATTTTTGTTCTTAATTTTTATTTAATTGAATAATTTTTATATTTCATTTATTTTTTCTTATGTGTTAAAAAAGAAAAAATATAAATTTTAAGATTTTTGTTTAATTTGAATTTCTCCAATGAAGAATAGGAAAAATAACTAAAACTTTTATTGTGAGTCTTGTTAAAATGGCACGTTTGCAGGACAATATAACGTTTGCAATACAATCAAAGTAAGATTTTGCCTAGATTAGAATTTGGTGGGTAAGTGTACATTTATTGACACCATGTATAAAATTCACATTGTAGGGGTTATTGATAAATTTGTCCAAATAAAAAATGTAAGGGAGCAATTTGCCACAAAAATTTGAAGGGTTTCTAATTACATAATTTAAGAGATATTCTGCACAGTAGGCCAACCAAAATGGTCTTTTTCTTTTTTTTTTTTTTTTTAAATTTTGAGTTACACAATGAACCTTAAATTTTTTTCTTATTTTTTAACTATTAAATTTACATATTATGTGATTTAAATTCAGAATTTCCTTAAATTTTAAAAATATAGTTGTTTCCCATCATAACCAATTTTGTTAATTGAAAATTTGTGAATAAGATTTACGGTACTCTCCAGGAAAAAACGAACCCATACATGGATTTATCATTCTCTGTAAAAAATGCATTTATTTATATTTGCTAGAGAAGTAATAAAAATAAGATCTTTCCATTGGTACTAAAATGACATTTCACAAAAATTTCGCTGGAAAATAACAACAAAACCACTTGAAGTTGAACCATCTCATAATCTTTGAGTTCATTGTTTGGGAGAACATAAAACAACATGGAAATCTTAGTGAATAAAAAAACATTTGCACTCTTTTGCTAAAAAACTGGGGGATTAGTCTCATCTCATTACACCTCTCCCTTCTGCCAAAAATTAGAAGCACTTCTATGCACAATGGATGGGCCAGATTCATCATACTCTGCCTTTGCAATCCACATCTACGTTGTTTTTGTTACAGAATATTTATATTATAATTATGTTGATTAGGTTTACATTATAATTGATTGACACAATTAGGTTAATTGATTTTGTACCATAGAATATTTTCTTATACAGGTCTACAAATAATAAGCATATTGTATATTCAGTGAAATGAAGAAAGAAAGAGTTTCTTTCTTCATCTATCTTTATATTTTTCTTTTCTTTATTTTTTCTATCATGGTATTAGGGCCTTAAGGTTTTTTTTTTTTTTACTATTACTGTTCATCTCCTTCGTGAGTTGCTGTTTTGCTTGTAGGTGATGTCGATCGTCATCATCTTTGCTTTCTTTCTTGGACTTATTTACAATTGGGTTTTCTTGATCTTGATTCTTTGTTGCGCCGGCAATACGTGTTACTCTCACGACCAATGTTGCTCCAGCCTTCTTGCATCCAATTGTCGCCGATTTTGCTCTTGATTTTTTGCTGTTGATTTTGCTCTTGATTTCTTGCAATTGAACTTTCGACATTGCTATTGCCCAGATTTGATATTGCCTCATTCTCCTCTAGCGGCTACACCGATCTGCATATTCAACATACAGATCTTTTCACCAAAAATTCACTTTCTTAGATGCTTCCGCACTTTTTTTTCCAAACTCAAGCTAGCCTCCTCATTACCACCTTGAGTTTAAGGGGGATGTTATAGAATATTCATATTATAATTATATTGATTGGGTTCACATTATAATTGATTGATATAATTAGATTAATTGATTTTGTAATATAGAATATTCTCTTACTTTTTTTTTTTGATCATTTTGGCAAGGGGCGAGTTTCGAACCCGCCCAGGAGAGGGGGGCAGTGCACCATCAACCTGGCTAATGCCAGTGGACCTAGAGGCCCAAGTGAATATTCTCTTACTCAGACCTATAAATAAATACCTTGTATATTCAGTGAAATTAAAAAAAAAAAAAGAGTTTCTTTCTTCATATATCTTTATATTTTTCTTCTTTTTATTTTTTTTTTATCAGTTTTGAAAGATAAAAAGCATCTTCAGACCTCCTAGAAAGTTTACTAAAGCAAAGATGAGAACAGAGGGAGTGCGGAAAACATAATACATACATAAAATTAACTATCATTTCATATATGTCCTACAGTCATGGTTATATTTAAACATATATACCTGCTGGAAAGTGCTAAGAGATGCCAAGATAGAGTCTCCAATCCAGACACTGTATTTCGTTTCAGGTGGAGCCACCACCTTGATTTTCATGCCGCTTGGAGCCAAAGCAGTGATTTCCGTGCTCATTCTATCAGCAATCGCTGGGAACATGGCAGATCCACCACTCAGGACAATGTTAATTTCCATGCAAATCCTTCCTGATATCTACATCACACTTCATGATGGAATTGTAAGTAGTTTCATGAATGTCGGTAGCTTCCATTCCAATCATGGACGGCTGAAAAGGACTTCTGGGAATCGGAAGCGCTCAGCACCTATGGTGATGACTTGGCCATCGGGCAACTCAGAGCTCTTCTCAACGGAAGAGGTAGTTTTAGAAGTTTCTAGCTCTTGCTCAAAGTCAAGGGCAATATATGCCAGCTTCGCTTTCATGTCCCTCGCAATTTCACGTTCAGCTGTAGTGGTGAACGAATAACCACGCTCGGTCGAGATTTTCATCAGGGCATCAGTAAGGTCACGACCAGCAAGGTCAAGAAGGAGGATGGCAAGTGGGAGGGCATAGCCCTCGTAAATGGGGACAGTGTGGCTCACACCATCTCCAGAGTCCAAAACAATACCTACACAAAGATCAATTGGCACTGGCACTGATTAGATACTAGATTATATAAGTTCCAATGTTAACAAAATGCATTAAAAAAACAGATGTACCAAAATAAAAGAGAAACTGATGCAGCTCACCAGTAGTTCGGTCACTGGAATGGAGGGAGAGAACAGCCTGAATGGCGACATACATAGCAGGAGTGTTGAAAGTCTCAAACATGATTTGGGTCATTTTCTCACGATTTGCTTTTGGGTTGAGAGGTGCCTCAGTGAGCAGAACAGGGTCTTTTTCTGGGGCCACACGGAGTTCATTGTAGAAGGTATGGTGACAAATCTTCGCCATATCATCCCAGTTGTTAGCAATGCCATGCTCAATCGGGTATTTCAGAGTCAAAATACTACGCTTAATTAGACAGAGCTTCATCCCCAACATATGCATCTTTTTGGCCCATCCCAACAATCACACCAGTGTGCCGTGGACGTCCCACAATGCTGGGAAACACGGCCCTTGGAGCATCAGCACCAGCAAACCCAGCCTAAAATGCAAAGAAAAACCATATAACCAAGTTTAGCGCTGCAGATATACAGAGCACCCAGAAATATACGTACCTTAACCATTCCAGTTCCATTATCACAGACGAGGGGCTGAAATAATCACTCTCTGCCATCTTCTTTCAACAACTAGCTAACAGGAAAGCAGAAAGGAATATGAAAATTATCAATGGACTAACAGCGCATCACGAATTAGACCCAAGTCACTTCCAATGTCATGGACCTGATCAACTGCTATGAAAGGGTTTCCTTTCATATTCCCTACATTTTCTCAAGAATCAAACAGAAAGCAAGAAAATGTGGATCACAAGTCACCTTGAATAAGTCGATCTCAGCTGCCCGCCGTTGGCTTCGAATTTTTAAGCCGGAAAAACAATAGCCTCCGGTCAGAAAAGTTAACGGGCAAATGAAAGCCCGTTTATATTGTTGGGGATTGTGCTCTGTTGACCGTTGGATATGAAATCCGATTACGAAGCTCCGTCAACTCGGAGATTAAAGTACCAAAATATCCCTCTGATTAATCTGAATCAATAATGGGTCCATCGCAGGGCCTGGAACTAC